TCAATATATATATTCAAATATACATCCACTGCATATTTCTCCTACAAATAGTTGCAGGTCAGTGTAACGGCCCTGGCAGCTAACAGAACAGTGGCAGCTGCTGCAGGATATCAAAGGCAGCTGAGTCTGCCTCCGGAAGTGCTGCTGCTGCTGCTGCTGCTGCTGCTGTTGCTGCTGCCACTATTTGAGCTTGCCCCTGCTGAATGTGGATCTATTTTTGGGTCCTCAATAAGAAAACGTTTGGGAACCCTTGCTCCACAGCTTCTCATTTTCATACACAAGGTGGACAACATACCATAGCTTGTGTGTTTTCATACAGTATAAATTATATACAAAATAATTCCTAAACACAAACATGGAAAGCTGAGCTTTGTATAAAGGACAATGGAACAAGGTTTAAAACACTGAATTCTAAGCCCAGTGTACCATCTAGTGGACATTAAGGCAAATACAGTGTATACCGAATACTATTTCATCCGTCTCTCCTCCGATACTGATAAAATGGTTACATCCAATATTAAACATCTTATTACGTAGGAAATGTTCTTGGTAAAAGGTCATTTTCTGTTGTTTTTAATGAACATTTGACGTGTTTAGAGGAACAAATTTGATTTATTGATATGAACATCAAAATATACATTTAGAGCCATCTGGTGTTTGATAGATCATTTTCTGTCTAACCTGCTCTGACTGTAGGAAATGACCTGCTCGTCTCCATGGTGATAACCCCGCCCACCCAGGCTGAGGAGGGACTGGACGATGACTATAATGATGTCATCACTGCTGTCACCACGGAGCATCACTTCTGAACTGATGTGAATGAAGCTAAAATGTTTCAGGTCCTTGGTAGATGAGAAACAGTGAAGGACCCAGAACGCTTCCCTGTGGAACCCCACATGTTGTAGTTTGACTTGTAGATGATGTTGAACTCAGGATCTCTGACTCTCTTTAAACTCTTCTAATCTTCTAATGTGAGCAGCTGTGTGTCAGGTTCAGTGGAGCCTCAGAACTCAGGGTGACTCAGTTAAAGCTGACTCATGATTCAGGCCCCTGAACAGATGTCCTGATGTGTTTACTGTCGATGAAGCAGTCGACATGTTTTTGGTCCAAATTAAAGCTGATAGTTGTTCAGATTCTGCTGTGAGTCGTGCTGTTGTTCATGCTTGTTTCAGTTTCAAATCTCTTCACATGAAATCAAACAAAATGATGAGCATCTTTTCTCTCTGTGTTTTGTTCTCATGCGATCATGTGGTTTTGTCTGGTAGACCTGAGGCCTGAACTATGAAGCAGGTTTTGGAGTTAGGAAGTAATTCAGGGTTAACTTCAGGTTTTCAGTGCTACAAACTGGTTCTCTTGGGATAAATTACCAGGGTAACTGATGCTGAACAGCTAACCTGATCACAGCCTGTCAACACCGAGACCTCCGACCAGTCAGATCACTGAAGACAAAAGTTTCCATGAATGAAAGTCCAGAGTCTCAGATATTAAAATAGGAGTCTATATGCTGTTATAGGTCAGTAGAATATGTTCATTGTTCCAGGGCTCTATTTCCACAAACACAGAGACCATTTACAAACTAAGCACATGATTTTAACTTATGCAAAGTTTATTTCAGTCGCAGTGACCTAAAACAGATCATATTTTATTAGTGAAATAATCCACATACTGTTAATCAGTTCCTGTTATTATAGATGTAACATTTGGGTCAGACACACGTCATCAGTCATTAACTCCTCTTTACTTCAGCAGCAGAAACAACTGGTGTTACTTTAAAGTGTTGACGTGACATATTCATCATCATCCACCTACATGGCAAATAATATTCTGTACTGATGGCAAATACAGCCCACTGATACCTACACATAATGTAAGTCTAGGCTGACATCACATTTTTTGCCAGGGTCTCCTCTCAAAGAAATATTCTTGAGCTGCACAACAGGTTTTTCTCAAAGTCAAGGATCCTTTCTTGGGAGGACGCCTCCATAGGCAAGAGTCCTTCCTGACATTCAGTGAACACACATTGGAACAGACTAACAAGTGTCCCCAGGTGATCATTCATTAACCCTCAGCAGACTGAGGAGGGCTCATTTACTGTGATCATTTTAACACTCTCTAATGTTGTTGGACAGTTTTACCAAATGTATTGATGAACAGTAGAAGCAGTGTAACTCTGAGTCCAGCAGAGGGCGATGTTGACTGTAATTCATATGTTACACAGTGTGACAGTGAATGCACCATGTGTCTCTAGAGAGAGAAAAAGAGAGAGAATGATAGATGGGTGAGGGGCTCCTGGAAAGGAGGAGGGTGGAGGGAGGGGGGCAGAGTTCAAGAATGTTGTGCGGGCCTGCAATGTCCTATAACGCCTTCGAGAAGGCAGGGGGGTGAAGAGGCAGTGTTCAGGGTGTGTGATGTCCGTAATAATGCCCGTGGCCCTCCGGATGCAGCGGGTCCTGTAGATGTCCTGTAGTCTGCGGAGCTTGGTGCCGATGATCCTCTCTGCAATCTTGATAATCCGCTGGAGAGCCTTCCTATGCAGCCAGAGTACCATGCTGAGATGCAGTACGTAAGGACTGACTCAATGGCTGACCTGTAGAAGCTCACTAGCAGCTTTTTTGGGAGGCATGCCATCTTCAAGCACCTCAGGAAGTTGAGCCTCTGGTGTCCTTTCTTGACTGTCACCATGGTATTGACGGTCCAGCTTAGGTTGTGGCTGATGTTGACTCGGAGGTACTTGAAGCTCTGCACGACTTCCACTGCCTTGCCATTGATGTTAATGGGGCGATGAGTGAAGGACTTCTGACTCCTCCTGAAATCCAGGATCATCTCCTTTGTCTTTGCTGCGTTGAGGATCAAGTTGTTTTCACAGTTCCAGCTCACCAGGTTTGCAACCTCTGTCCTGTAGGCAGCCTCGTCGTTTGACGTGATCCTGCCTACTACGATTGTGTCATCTGCAAACTTTATGATGGTGTTGGCCTCATTGGTGGGTTTGCAGTCGAGTGTGTAGAGGGAGAAGAGGAAGGGGCTCAACACGCAGCCCTGTGGTGCACCAATGCTCAGGGTGATGCTGGAGGAGACTTGTCTCCCCATGTGCACGGTCTGTGGTTAACCGGTGAGGAAGTCGAGGACCCAGCTGCTCAGGTGTGTTGAGGCCCAGGAGGTCCAGCTTGGTGGCCAGTTTGTGGGCGGGGGAGTTGGTGGCGTTAAAGACGGAGCTATAATCAATGAATAGCATCCGCACATAGCTGTCCCTCTGCTCCAGGTGTGTCAGGGTAGTGTGGAGAGCTAGTGACACTGCATCCTCAGTCGACCTGTTTGCCCTGTAGGCAAACTGGTGTTGGTCCAGGGAGGGGGGGACGCTGTTCTTCAAGCGTGTCAGTATGAGACACTCGAAGCATTTCATCACTACTGGTGTCAGGGCCACTGGCCGATAGTCATAAAGAGGCCTGATAGCTGATTGTTTTGGCACAGTGATGATTGTTGCTGACTTGAGGCATGTGGGAACAGAGGCCTGCTGCAGGGAAATGTTAAATAGATCCGTGAGCACTGCTGTCAGCTCCCCTGCACAGTGCTTCAGAACCCGGCCTGGTACTCCGTCAGGTCCAGTGGCCTTGTTGGAGATGATGTGCTGCAGGGTCCGTCTCACCTCGTGGGGGGTCAGCACTAGTGGTGAGGGTCCCTGCTGTGCCCTCGTGTTGTAACTGCTGTCAGTGCAATCAAACCTGGAAAAAAAGCAGTTCAGGTCGTCGGGGAGGGATGAACTTTGTGCATGTGTGGAGCTGGTGTTGTTGCTGTTGTAGCCGGTAATGGTTTTGATACCCTGCCAGACACATCAGGAGTCAGAGCTGCTGAAATGCTCCTCAATACGCTTCTTGTCGCTGTGCTTTGCCTCCCTGATGCCTTTCCTCAGTCTGGACCTTGCTGTTCTATAGGCCTCTGCGTCACCTGAGTGGAAAGCAGTGTCCCGGGCCCTCAGCAGACTAATCACAGCACGGTTCATCCATGGCTTATGGTTAGAGAGTGTCCGTACTGTCTTCCATGTGGTGACACTGTCCATGCAGAAGGTGATGTAATCCAATATGGATGTGGTGTAAGTGTTGAGGTCTATATGGTTAGGTGCAGACTGATGTGGTTGGACCGACCAAGGTGGGGGGAGGAGGATGCTTTGTAAACCTTTTTGCAATGTTACAGCAGACCTGGTCCAGAATATTATTTCCTCTAGTCGGGAAATCAATAAACTTATAAAAATTTGGCATCACAGTCTTCAGGTTAGCGTGAATAAAGTCCCCTGCTATTATAAACACGTCATCTGGGTGATTATTTTTTAGTGGGTGGATAGCGTTGTGCAGACTGGCCAGCGCTAACTTAATGTTTGCTTGCGGGGGTATGTAAACAGCAGTGAGAAACACCACAGTAAACTCCCTTGGCAGGTAGAATGCTCTGCATTTCACTGTTATGAACTCTATGGGGAGCAAAACGTCTCAATAATGTCAGTGGAGGTGCACTATGTGTTACTCATTAGGTTATTAGGTACAGCTAAGTGAAACTGATGCAGTCTAACAGTCCTGTAATAGTCATGAAGGATGTAATGTTCACATGATGTTGATTAACCTTGATGATGATGATGATGATGATGATGATGATGATGATGATGATTGTGCTGCTGTTGAACTGCACTGAGTTACAATGAGAGGTGTCTCTAATATTTTGTCCAGCCCGTATCAATCAGCTCAATAACATAACAGGAACATGAAATGACACATGTATATTCTTCAATAAGCTGAGCTGTATATAGCTGTAGATATCTCATGGATTTGACAACTTATTTTTAATAAACATGTTCATATGTTATTAAAGTGAACTGTCTGACTAAATGAGCTGTTCAACGCGTCACAGAGACAAGTCACGTCTGAAGTAGGAAGACTTGAACTTTCAGTTCTCTTCCTGGTGTGATGTCATGTCCTTGAGTAACCCCAGATGTGAGCTCCACCCACTCAGACAAAACCAGCCCTACCAACCATTTTTCAGCCAGTTCACTTCAGACACAGGACTCAACCAACAGACAGAAGCTGCAGCAGCAGATAAAGATCCTCTCAGCTCTCATGGCTCCATTCCTGCTCCTGTTGTTCCCTCTGTGTGCAGCAGCTTCTGGTAAATATCAGCTTTTATTGTGAAGAGATTCATGGAGATATTATTTCTGACCTGAGTAATGAAACAATGTCTTGTTCTAGAAAATGTTTTGACTGTTTTTGTGAGGAGTGTAAATAATAATAATAATAATAATATATACACCACATATATATTGTTGGATGTGTAGTTAATAAGTGTTGTAACTTTGTCAGTGACTTCAAACACAATCATCATGATCATACAAACTGTTTCACGCTGCACAGTTTGGAGAAAGGTTTGTAGAGGAGGGGTGAGACAGGGGGAGGAGCATCAGGCTGTGCTGTGCTGTGATTGGCTGAATGATGACAGAGTTGAGGTGATGACGTATCAGATGAACCTGTGGTTAAACACAAGCAGAGTTTTTGGTTGAAGTGTGAAACAGTGAGATCAACTCAGAGAGATGTTTATTAAAGACACACTGAATGAACTGAATGAAGTTTAAGTGCAAAGTGCAGTCCAAATGTTAAAGCAGCTTCATGTGTCCCAACAAATCTGACACTATCAAGTGTGTGTGTGTGTGTGTGTGTGTGTGTGTGTGTGTGTGTGTAGAGACCTCCTGTTTAAACTCTCTGTACTTTACAGATGGAAACACTTTTTGACTCTGGATGGTTATTATTGTTTTTCAGACCAACATGTGACAGTGCACCCTGGAGATGACGTCACTCTGAGATGTGAGGCTGCTGATGTCTCCATCTTAGTTGTAGAGTGGACCAGACCTGACCTGGAGCCACAGTACGTCCTCTTTTACAGAGATGGACGCTCAGACCCAACCAAACAGCATCCATCCTTTACAGGCAGGGTGGAGCTGGTGGACAGAGAGCTGAAGGACGGAGACGTGTCTTTAACTCTGAAGAATGTGACCAGCAGAGACTCTGGAATATACGAGTGTCGAGTTGTAGCAGGTGGATCAAGACACAGCAAGAGAGCCATCATTAAGACTGATCCAATCAGAGTCATCTACCTGGAGGTTATAGGTGAGTGTGTGGAGCTCAGTGTGTGTGTCTGTGTATCAGGTTGGAGCTGCAGTTTATTCCTGAGAGTCAAACATCAGAAATACACAAGACAAATGAAGGCTGTTCAACTAATCACACATTTACTGACTCTGATTTATTTAATCTGCAGATTCAGAGGATGGAAACTTCCCTCATCTATACGTTGGACTGGCAGCAGGAGGTGTTGCAGTGCTTCTTGTAGCTGCTGCAGTGTTTGTTGCTGTCTGGAGATATAAGAGACGTAAGGACCAAAGATCAGCACAGTCTGCTGCTGCTGATGAAGAAGGAAACCTGTAAACCATGTTTACCTCTGCTGTTTGAGACTGTTCACCATGATGGTCTGTTTCAGCCAATCATGTCTCTCCTCCATGAATCACTACCTCATCATGTGCACTGAATGTGAACAGAATCTCTCAGGTTTTACTGAAAGATCTGCTCGTATTTTTTATACGTTATTTAAGTTTTCATTTTGGGTGAATCCTGTTGTTTTGTGTAACGTATGTAGAGACATTTCACTCCAGTAAATAATTCTCCCTCCATGAATCACTACCTTTTGGTGGTGGAGGGTTTGTGTTAGGGTTGGGCGATAATACGGTATCCCGCGGTATCTAAAAATAGCAACGGTATCAGTTTCATTACCGTCATTAAAAAAATCTGCCGCACATAGGCCTATAGGGGCCTGATATAATATTACATATAATTTATCTAATGCTTATATAATAATGAGTGTTTGTCCAGCACCTGTGTATGTGTGGTTGAGTTTTCAATTTAATACTAATTACAATTTAAAACTAATAATAGGCTTTAATGTTTCTCTTATAACTGCCCTTAACTGTTGTCAGGAGATGATGTGGCGCACCTGAAATAGTTTGACCAGTTAAACTTCTGACTGAGAGCTGGGAATTTCTGACCTCCGAGTACAATAATAAACCACAACTACCTCTGCTAAAATGTCAGGCTTTATTTACGTGAGTGTTTGCTGGAAGAATGGAGTGTTTGTAGCGACTTTTATTTGCATAAAAGAGCAGTTAAAGGAGTTCGTTTATAGGAGTTTGAGGTGGCGCCATTTTGTGCCACAAACGTGACGGAGAGGTGTTAAGTGTTTAAGGGCTCCTGCACACTGTGAATATTTCAAAAATATATTGTTTGTAATTAAGATGCACTTTACTTAATATGGACTTGGTTAAAACTTAAAGATTAAAACAGTTCATTGAATGTTGATTGTTCATGATGTGATGAAGTGTGTTTCCTGCTGAAATACATCGGTAAAACATGTAACATAAGTATTACATAATATTTTATTTCAGTGGCCTGTAATTATTATAGAAGTTTAGTGAAGGGTACAGCATACTGTATTAAAGGGGACATTTCATGTCATTGAGTTACACTTAAGGTGAAGAATAATTTAAGCAGTTATATACTGTGAGAAATGTACTTTAATGTAAAAGTCAACAGTTTGTGTTTACCACAGAAATTGTAAATGGATGCTTTAGTGAAACTGTAAGAATTGTGAGATACTGAAAGTCATGGACTTACTTACTAACGGCTTGGCACCCATCTACCTCTCTGACCTGCTGGAACCCTATGTCCCTCCAAGGTCCCTCAGGTCCTCTGATCAGCTTCTCCTAGCTGTCCCTAAATCCAGGCTGAAGCTCAGGGGAAATCGGGTTTTCTCAGTGGCAGCTCCAAAACTTTGGAACGAGCTGCCTCTGCATGTTCTGCAAGCCCCCATTCTGCAGGTGTTTAAATCACGCCTCAAGACACATTTTTATTCTTTGGCTTTTTCAAACACAGCCTGAGTGATTGGTGTTCTTCATATGAGTGTATGTGAGTTGTTACCTGTTTAATTTTCTTTTACTTGTAAAGCACTTTGGTTTCAGCTCTGTTGTTTAGCTTGCGGTAGCAGGGGCGAGTCAATGAATGAGTTAATGGAGACGATGAGTCAGTAAAAAGAATCTCACGTTTCAAACGATTCGTTCATGACTAATTGCTGCTAAGGTGTTCATATGTCCAAATGGCTTGGTTATTTCTCTGTGTTTTATGATGTTAGATGTGCTGTTGCACTGTTGTAATGTTGGTAAGGTTTGAAGCAGTAATTAGCCTGCTTGTGTATTAGCCCAGTGTTGAGCTAACTGAGTAGCCTAGCTGGCTTGCCGGTGCCATTGTGATTGTGGATGCACTATTAATGTGGTTTCTGTGTGAGGCTAAAGTAATAGTGGCCACTGTCACAGTTTGTATGTAGTGAAGTACTCACATAGAACATATGCAGAACATATTTGATAATGTATAAATGCCTTTAGTTAATGCTGGGTATTTGACCGAGGTGAAGTTAGTTTGACGTTGGATATTCAACGGATATTCGGATATTCATGCTTGCCAGCTTGTCCTCCTCACGTTTCTTCCGTCCTTCTGCGTGCTGACATGGGATGTATCCCTCCTCTCATTGGCTGATGCTCTTTGTCAGTCTTATCAGACCTCTCCAGTTTTCTAGCATGCCAGATATCCAGTCCCAGTCTCAGATGAGGGGACGACTGGCTCGGAGGCTTGTTCACACATGAGGGCAGTCTACCTGCCGACTCACCTCCGACCCAACGTGGCTCTCAAGATCCTCGGTGACGTCAAAATCCCGGTGAAAATTGTGTAATGTGAACTAGGCTTAAGGCACACCTCTTTATAAATGGGTTTCATGCTCTTTCTATTTTATATGAATGTTTTAAACAAACTCCATTTGTTTTTTGCTGAAAAAAAGTCTATTTTCATCAATAGCTTTCATGTTACATTATTTGACATTATGCACTCTTAAGCTGCACCGTGTACAGTTTCTCACTCTGCCAGTGAAGAGCTTAAATCTGATCGATGACTGTGTGTTCCCTGACTGTAGCGGTCAATATCTCAACTCACCTGTTTTAAAGGGTGAATCCCAACAAGTACTGTAAATATAAAGACATTTTTGTGGAGTAAATAGTTCTGCTTGTGTGCCTGTTGATCATGAAAGCTGTGCTGTGTGTAACACTAGTAAAGCCTCCCAGAGCAAACTGGTCCCAAATATTAATGTATTTTTTATCAATAAATAATACTAAAAACAACAAGTGCTGAAAGCTACTGAGCCTCCATTGTTTCTAAATCTCTTCATCTGAAGCCTTTAATCAATAACACAACACTGAGGAACAGAAGACATGTTGACTTCATGTCACTGATGACATGTTACAGTGTATGTGTTACTGTAACAGCTGATCATTGAGGTTTTTAAGGCCAAACAGCTGCTCAGTGTCATTAATGTGAAAGAAGTGATGTTGTTACAGTGTGTGTGCAGAATGAGTCAGACAGGAGGCCTCGGCTTTATATCATGACTTTTAAACAATGTGCTGAAGAAAACTTAAATGTGTTTAACTGAAGCTCTGTAACTGACACATGAAGCTGACCTGTCTGGACCTGTCACTGTAAACAGACATGATTAAATGGAGGTTAATGCTGCTGCTCACAGTGTTCACTCTGCCCCTCCCCCACCATCTCACTCTGAGACAGGAAGTGGTTTCACTTCCTCCTCATTGTCCGTCAGTAGAGACTGACCTCAGCTTCTCTCTTACACAGTGTTCGTGACCAAGAACAGGAAGGTGATTAAAACTATAATGAGAATAATATTAATAATAATAACAAGTGAGAAAAAATAAATAAGTAAAGTAAGATAAAAGAGAGGAGAAGAAAAACAAGAAAAAAAGAAACAAAAACAGACTAACACAAAAACACCCACACAACGTCAACAACACAAAATATAGCATCGGGACTCATCAAATATAGTGACTAAATCATAACCTACTAAGAATGACTGTGCCCAGTTATTTCAGACCATGCCAAACCAGTCAAGCCCCTCTGAAGGGCATGGGTCCCATCTTCCCCAGTATAGTTCAAAAAAGGGTTCCAGATATTTAAAAATTTGAATGGTTTGTTTTTCAGCCCAAAACTTGTTACTTCAAGAGGGATGAGTTCCAATATGCTCCTGAGTCAATGTGAGACAGTAGGCGCAGTGTCCGATATCCAGTGGAGAAGGATACATCTCCTTGCAACAAATAACAAAACCTGAAGCAACTTAAGTGAGAGGGGAGCAAGGTTCACAGCAGTACATTGAACAGTAGACTGGAACAAAAAATGGGCTCCAGAAACAGCTTCTTCTGAAAAATAGCATCAATTTCTTTACACACTTTATACCAGAAATCAATAACAAAAGGACAGTCAAAAATATGAGCCTTCGTTGATTTTACACTTGTACAATATTACAGTTACAATTACAATATTTTCAAAGCAGAGGATTAAACTTGTTACGTTTCACTGGAGTAATTTGAAGCCGGAGTATAACTTTAAATTGCAGTTCTCTGGCTTTATTAGTGAACAAGCAACCTGATGAGCTCTGCCAGACTCTGTCCCATTCATCTCTAGAAACTGTCACATCAAAATCAGCTTCCCAAAGAGATTTCACACGAGCTGTGTGTTCAGTGTTCTGGATTAACAAGACCCTATAAAACTTGGAAATGAGTTTCTTAGAATTAGCACTTTGCAATATCTTCTCAGTTGTTGAAAAAGAGAACCCATTTGGGTGTAACTTTACAGTAACTCCAGATGTGAAGGCAAATATGTAACTTTATGCTGAGAACTGATCAGCAGAGTTTAACTTTGATAAACAGTGTGATAACAAAGACACACGCTGTGGTTCTCTGCTTCATTTCCTGTTTCATGAGTTGTCACTGAACAAAGAAATAAAGAGTTTCATCTGTTTGATGATTCACTGAGAATAAAACTGACACTGTGTTTTGATTCAGAGCTTTTCACTGTGTGTTATTAAAACTTATTCTGGACAGACTCTGGAAGAGATTAGTATCAGGCACAGAGAGCAGCTGCAGCAGCAACTCCTCCTCCTCCTCCTCCTCCTCCTCTTCTCTCTGATAAACACTCTGCAGCCTGTGACTCCATGATAAGACTGTTCTGAATACCAAATATGAAGTCAAATATTTCACCATGAACTCTGAGCTGAGCAGGAGACTCAAACTCTGACTGTGTGTTTACTGTAACAAAGACACACGCTGTGGTTTTCCATTTTAGTTCCTGTTTAACAAGTTCTCTCTGGCTGTGAGCCAAGTTACACTGAACGAACAGACCAAAGACGTGTCCTCAGTCATCTCTCTGGAATGGCTGACATGAAACGAAACTGAAACAACACTGTATTCCAGGAGTTTTCCCTGCGTGTTGTTGTGCAGGTTGAAGACAAAGTGAGACACAGACTCATGAAGCAGGAAGAGATGAGTAACAACAGCAGCAGCATCTTTACTGAGCAGTTAAACACACACACAGCACTTTGACACTTTAGTCCTCAAACATGTCTGCTCTGAACACACACACTCTGACTTGTTCACACACACTCTGACTTGTTCACACACACTTTGACTTGTTCACACACACTTTGGTTGTTGATGTACATTGAGTTGTATGTACATGTGTGTCTTTACACAGAAGATCCTGAATGTGTCGTAATGTGTTTGACCTTCAGATCAAATGATGTGACCTGTGAAGTTTGATCATCAGCAGATCTGACACAAACACATCAAACTGTTTTATCTAAATGAATCTGATCAGTTTAAATGTTTGTGTGTGACGTTCAGTGGACCTGATGGATGTGACGTATCGTCCGCTGTGCAGAGGATTGTGGGTCAGAATAACCAGTAAAGCCTGCTGCTTTACAGACTGTAAAATCAGACTGGATGCAGTAGGACATATTTTCGGCACACTGCATTTGACACACTCTGTATTGGGACGTGCTGGATGTGTTTGTGGCAGACTATAGTTTGGTGGTGTGGGTGCTGGGACACACAGATCAGGCTGGTTGGAGCTGAGTCAGGCCTGAGCAGGTTCAGTCACTGACTGACTGATGTTTAATGAAAGCTGTTGTCTTGTATCAAATATGAAGCTCACAGTCAGACACAGTGTATTCAGCCTGTGTAGCTGAGGGGACAGGTCACACTGATATGATGCTGATTTACAGCAGAGTTCATGAAGCATCAACAGAAACTACAGATCACCTGTAAAGCATTTGAATATGTTACAATATCATAATTAAAACAACCAGAGCCTGAGAACAAACTGATATATGAGTCTGATAATATTTTAATAATCTGCATCAGATCTAACAGGATGTGTTTCTGTGACTTCCTGCTGCAGCAGTCTGTCTGACCTCACCGCAGGTTTTAGTCTACACTGCCTGTTGCCCACTGCCTCCTGTTATTCTGTAAATTTTCTGTTGGTATTTCCCCTCCTGACTTCAACTGTTTCCAGTAAAACTGATCCTCTGTAGGACAAAGTGAAGCTGCTGTCTGTCTCTGACATCACTGACAGTCTCAGCACGTGATTGGTTAAATGTTCACGTCATCAAACATCAGATCATCTTTATTTCTTTATGAACACTGAACACTTTATTGTGTGTGACTGTGTTTAATGTTCAGGAGAGAAAAGGAAACACCTGCCTTCATTAATCAGTCATTGAACGCACCTCCTCTCAGACACCTTGTTTGTTTGTTTGTTTGTTTGTTGTGTTTTGTTTGTTTGGTGAGGAGGAATGTGTTAACACACTGAACATGTGTGATGTTTCCTGTCATGAACACACACACACACACACACACACACACACACACACACTGTCCTCTCCCTCTGTGCTTCAGCTTCACCTCATCCAGAGCACGAGCTCCACCTGGTGACGACCTGGTGGTGATAAAATAGTTCTGATTCTGAAAAAAGTTTTTTTTTTTTTTTTTAAAAAAAGAGACCTGTTTAAAAAAAAAAAAAACTGTTAAACTGTTTTCATTAACAGTTTTTTTTAAAATTAATTTGACAAAGCCCTGTTTTTGTGTGTGTTATTTGTATTTATGTTACGTTTAGTTATTTTTTTTTAACTGTTTGATGAGCTTTAGGACTTGAAAATGCTCCTTGTTTGTTTGTTTGTTTGTGTTCAGCTCAATAAAGAATCCTGACCCACACTCCACACCAGGAGGGGGCGGTGATGCACCATGACGTTGCCAACCGACAATAACCCTCAGAGCGGAGGAAGAAGAGGAGGAAGAAGAGGAGCGGAATGGAGGAGGACAAGCAGAACCCGGAGCACCGGAGCAACAAGGTCCGGAGAAGACAAGCAGCAGGCTCGTCCTCTGATAGCAGCGATGTTGAGGTGAGTGTTGATGACGTCATGGATAAAAAGGGCTTGACAGCAGCCACACTAAAGACACGAGGAAGAGTCTCGAGGCTCCGTGGATCATCCGCTCATTCTCTGGTTCACTCTGAGCCTCGTGGCGGCCATTTTTCCGGTCAGTCCTCCGGTGTGTTGTGTCTGCAGGGACTCTGATGCTGAGTGTCTGGAACCTGAGCGGTCACCATGGTAACAGATGCAGCGGGTGTGACCTGAGGCGGGATGTGTACAGATGTGCAGAGACACAGCCTCAACAACACAGCTTAGTTTGGGTTGAAAGTTGTTGAGATTCTAACAACGCTCTGCTGCACACACACACACACACACACACACACACAGAGTTGGTGTTTGTAATAGGAGTTACCTTTTATTATAATCACACTGAGCAGTGGAGGAAGTGACGTGTTTCAACATGGGCGGGGTTAACTGTGGCTGTAACACCTGCTGGGAGTTGGTTACATAGTTCACCATGATGCTGCGGTTTAGGCAACAGGACAGTTGGTAAGGTGATACATGGTTGGATTCTGTGACTCACACAGAGCGCTCAGTGATCCAAAAACAGTTATGACTGTGTGGTCTACTGGCCAGAAGGAAGGGATCGACCCTGTGTAACGGCATAAACAGTCAGTGTTAGGGGTGAGACATATCTCGTTCATAATAATAGCGGTTTAATGTTTAACATTATATGAAAAATTCATATCGTGATACTCATGATATTTTTACTTGTTGACATATTGACGTCATACTGGCAACAACAAACGCACCCAAAGCAAAATTATTCCCCACTCCTCTGTGGTTCAAAAAGGAGGAGGAGCTTTAGTAGTGTGGAATAAACTGTGGCGTCCGCTCAGAGGGAGCTCAGTAAGCGGCTCCTCTGGCAGCAGGGTCCGTGTACTTTGTGGCCATTCGTTTTTCGTTTCGAAATAACAAATTGAAACACGGAAAACCAACCATTATCCGTTTTTGTTTAGAAATGACCACACGAAAAAGGAAAAAAACGACCCCTCTCCTGTTTTTTATTTGATAATGAAGAAAAAAAGAACGGAAAACAAAACGTTATCCATTATCCGATTTAATTTGGGAATTTAAAAAAACCCTGTGGGAAACTCCTTTCTCTATTTTTTGTTCGTTTCTTCTCTGACCAGTACGTTGCATTCATATGATGTCGGAATAATCGGAAAAATGACTTTCCGAGTGGGAAAATACACACAAATGCCTGCTCATGTCGGAAAAAGCGGACGAAAAGGAACGTTTGGTCCATGGACATACAACTTTTTATTAATTCACGTATTGCATATCATTTTTTGCAGACATGTAATGTGTATTTTCCCACTCGGAAAGTCATTTTTCAGATTATTCCAACACCACATGAATGCAACTTACTGGTCAGAGTAGAAACAAACAAAAAATAGAGAAAGGAGTTTCCCACAGGGTTTTTTTTAAATTCCCAAATTAAATCGGATAATGGATAACGATTCGTTCTCTGTTTTTCTTTATTATCAAACAAAAAATGGGAGACGGATTGTTTTTTTTCCTTTTTCGTTTGGTCATTTCAAAACAAAAAATGGATTATGGTTGGTTTTCCTTGTTTCAATTTGTTATTTAAAAATGAAAAACGAATGGCCGCAAAGTACACAGACCCAGCAGCACAGTGATTTAGTCACAAAGTTTTGGTGATGTAAACCTAAGTGAAAAACTTATATACTATATATGTGACTGGCTCATAACAGCCTGTCACAGGTCACAGTTGTGGTAGATTTGATTTAGTTGAACTAGGGATCGACCGATATGTTTTTTTTAGAGCTGATGCCGATACAGATTATTATGAAACAGAGATACGGATAGCCGATATTTACAACCGCTGTATGACTGCTATAAAAATCATAGTTGACACAGAATTTAAAAGATAAACACTGACAAAGAGACACCAGAGGCAGGATAACAGCTCAGAATAAAGAACGAAAGTTTAGATCTTTCAATGAACAGGAAAATAAATCAGTTAAAAATAAATAAATAAGTAACGTAAGTTGAAGAATATGCCTGCTAAATAAAAAAAAGATAAATAAAAATGAATAAATACACAATAATCATAAATACAAAATTTAAAAAATAAAATGAAAAACACTAAATAATAATAATAAAATAAAGGAGTGCTCAATTAAAAGCCAGGCTAAAAAGGTTGGTCTTGAGTTTGCTTTTATGAGCCTAGAGTGGTACGTGCAGGCAGTGAGGAGCACACCAGGGGCAAAACAGCGCAGTGAAGGAAAACAAAACTGTTTATCGGCAAATCGGTGAGAAAAACCACCGATATCGATCAACCTAAAAAGTCATAATATCGGCCCCGATAATTGGCCTGGCCGATTATCTGTCGACCCCTAAGATGAACTATTGATGTTGTAACAGAATCTGAATCTCACTCTGAATATTGTTTTATAAACAGGTTGTTGTTGCTCTGACTGAAGTACTGAACATGTTTCTGTCCTCTGGTCCATTTAACATTGCTGGCTTCTAAAAGAAGCTTCTATAAAATCACAGGTAACAAACAGTTCACTCTGTTAATAGTTTAGGATGACGTTTACATACATTTGAAATGTGATATAATTCCTTCAAACCACCATAATGTTACCACTTTGGATAATGTCAGCGTCATCTACGAACGAATCACAGCTGAGCTGATACTCAGATTTTTTTGCTCCTTTAACACAAATAGTTCTGCAGCTGGACCAGGACTGGACTGTTGCCAAGCAACACACAAACACTCCTGCACACTAGCTTACTACTAAAGCCCCGTTTCCTCTGAGCAGTTCAGTTCATTGTTTCTGTCTCCACAGTGAAAAGTTGTGGATGGTCCCAACAGAAGCGTTCCTTAGCGTCCCCATGTTTGGTCCCCCCTCTGTTGGGGTACCTAGTACACAGATCTGGTACTAAAAGGTGGAGCTAGAAACCCTGCAGTCTGATTGGTCAGTAGAGGACGTTCACTCTGGTTTTATGTAACCTCTGTTCATACATCAGTAAACTACAACTATAAAATGAAAGAGAAAAAAATAACTTCATTCACTGGGCCGACTGCCGGCAACTTTTAAGGTGGAACGTTAACTTGTAATGTTACTCAATGCATGAGTTGATGACGTGAATCCATCAGCACACCTTAAATTTCACTGTGACAACTTTGACCATCACTTTAGTTTTTATATGACACACACTTTTAGTAATGACTTTAAAAATATAGATTAATTTGGAGCGGATTATGTGAAGGTCATATATTCTAATCCTCACTTCCTGTGGGCTACAGCAACACTAAACCCCTGAGCTTGCCTGAGAAGGACTAAATGCACAAAGCTGCTATTTTTAAATATCCCATGGAGAGAGACTCTCACTGCAGCCTGTTCTATTTTGTTGTGAAAATGTGGGCGTGCAGCCTCGTTCTGTGGACGATAAACCAGGTGCAGACTTCCATCTGTGTCACCGCTGATGAGGAAATACAGCGAGTGCTGGACGGAGCAGTGAGTGACAACAACCCCGCCCACATTTAAGAGGACTGTCTGAACAGACCGAGGGTCTAGGTACCATGTCTGAAGGCTTACTGCTGGTTCCAGAGGTGCTGGACTGAAAGGGTTGAAGTGCAGGTTGACGTGACCACAGAGCAGCTGCTGTGTATCATGTAGGCTACATCTGTGTGGTTCCATTTATTTTGCGACCAGTGAGATCCATCTGTTGACAGTCTTGTTTGTTTATTCTTTTAATCCAGATTTGTCCAACATACGGCCCGAGGGCAAGAACCGGCCCGCCGAAGGGTCCGATCCGGCTCACTAGATGACTTTGCACGCCTAACATTAAAGCAGCTATGAAGGCGGGATTTATACTACTTTATACATAGTATATATAGTAAAATTAATTTTGATCTGCATGAAAACTGAAGTGATTTCACGTCTCCTTCATTTTGGGAACGTACCTGCGGTTCTTGAGTAAAATGTTTTAATCTGCTGGGTCAAATTTGAAGTTTCAGAGCTGTAGAATGAGCAGCTGTCATGTTAGAAATAAACAGATGAAAAAAGTCTATATACATGTTCCGTCAGCACTCCTCTCTCTCCTTAACTGAAGCAACAGTGACACTTTTAAGAGACGGTTGATAAACCTCCTTCATGGTTCCTGTTATCTCAGACTGAGGCTGCAGGGTTTATTGATCCAGCTCAGACACAGAGAGCCTGACTGCTGAACTGACGTCATGGTGACAGCCATTCATGTAGTTAAAATGTTGGGGAGTAACTAGTTACATGTAATTAAACTACAAAATAATTATAGTTGTTAATCAGTTACATCTTCTGGCCGCGCAGTAACGTTTTCTTTTGTCATATTTCCAAACAGCTTTTAGCTTTATCGCCCAGTTTAATACAGAAAAGTAATTAAAAAGTAAGGAAATGTAATAATTTAGGAATGTTTCGATCAGGGGTGTTTCTAGGATTTGAGGACAATGGGGATTTAGCCCTGACCTCTTCAGGGGGGTCGAAGTGGAGCTTTATTGTGATGCTTTTTTTTAATGCACGTGTGCTTCTTATTAACCTTTAAAAACTGTTTATTATCTTTATAAATCATGAACTGTGATGTCAGACTCATTAGTGACTGTTAGTAATTAGTACTGAGAGGAAACAGAATACTTTGGAACTTCTATCATTAAAGTTAAGGCCCCGTCTGTACGCATCCACATGTTTTGGTAAACAGATATTGTCCTCTGTGTTTTGGCCTCTCATGAACGCAAACAGAGGTTTGGGTCACTAAAATATAGATTTAAAAAAAAAAGCCCTCTGAGGTGAAGATTGGTGATGCACCATGTTTTTTTGCTGATATCCAAAATGCCGATATGTAACAACTATGGCTGGGCAGTATATCGTTGTTGTTGTTTTTTTGTTTTTGTTTTTGTTTTTACAATATATTGATACATTTTCAAGCAAGATATAAATTTAAACACCGTTAATATCGGTATAGGGTCAAGTTCCTCTCCTCTCTTTTCATTTCCTGTCATTTTTTATTTATTTTTCTGGCTAAATTAACTGAGATAAGTGTCAATAAGAGTATCGATACGTGTATCAGTATCAATAAGCGGTAACGTTAACAATATTGGTTTCAATTTGTATCAAAAAGTCAAAACTAAACTAATAATACCTCATGGAAAAGTCACCTGTGATCATAATGTTGGTTGGGTGTCACAGGTGGTAATGCATTTGTCAAACTTTGTGGAACATGGTGGGTTATGTTCCACATATAAATGTTCAGTGCTTCTCAAAGTCAAGGATGCTTCCTTGGTAGGACGGGTCCTACAGAGGCTAGGCGAGACTCCTTCCTAGCATTTAGTGAATACACATTGGAACAGGCCAGCAAGTGCCCAGGTGTGTGTCATCGACGAGAGGCCACTTTCAGATCTGGCAAATTGTCTGCAAAGAATTGTGGGTTCTTCATGCCCTCTGAGGGTACACACATGCATTCTTGAAAATTCTCTAAATGAAGGATCCTTGGAACAGTCCTTCGAGGGGATTCAAAAGCCTCCTTGAAATTCAGCTGTTTAAGGATCTCCCCTTGACTTTGAGAAACTTCTGTTTATAGTTTTAGATCGCTCGCTATCTGAAAAAACATCTTACTTGCCCTCTCTCTCTCTCTCTCTCTCTCTCTCTGTATGTCTGTCTATTGCTATAGAAACGTAGAGGAAGAGGGGGACTCAAACGTCACCACTGTCAGCACTGCGACAAATCCTTCTCAACATCTGGATATTTAAATATTCATCAGAGACTTCACACTGGAGAGAAACCACACAAGTGTGACCAATGTGGGAAAGCCTTCACGGAGTTGGGGACCTTAAAAAACCACCAGCGCATCCACACAGGAGAGAAACCCTACAGCTGTGACCAGTGTGGGAAAGCTTTCACAGAGTCAGGGACTTTAAAAATCCATCAGCGCATTCACACAGGAGAGAAGCCGCACAGCTGCCGCCTGTGTGGGAGTGCCTTCACAAGGTTAGGGACCTTAAAAATCCACCAACGGATTCATACTGGAGAGAAACCATACAGCTGTGACCAGTGTGGGATCACCTTCTCTCGCGCTAATAATCTCAAAGCCCATCAACGTGCTCACGCTGGAGATAAACGCTACTGCTGTGACCTGTGTGGGAAAACGTTTTCCCGCAACAGTAACCTTAAAGCCCACCAACACATTCACACTGGAGAGAAACCATTTCGCTGTGACATCTGCGGCGCGATGTTTACACGGGAGAGTTCCCTAAATGTCCACCAGCGAAGTCACACGGGAGAAAAGCCGTACTGGTGCGACCTCTGCGGGAAAGCCTTCCGCCAGGGGAGTGCTTTACTAGTACACAGAAGGATTCACTCTGGAGAGAAACCGTACAACTGCGACTTGTGTGGGAAAGGATTCACAAAGTTTGGGACCTTAAAGATCCATCAACGCACTCACACAGGAGAGAAACCATACAGCTGCGACCTGTGTGAGCAAGTTTTTAGCAATCTGCGTAGCTTAAAAACTCACCGACGTGATCACACCGGAGAGAGACCTTACTGGTGTGACCAATGTGGGAAAACTTTTTCATCAAGTAGTTACCTGAAAGCCCACGAACTCAGTCACACGGGAGTAAAACCGTACAGTTGTGATAAATGTGGGAAAGCTTTTATTACTGTGGGTCACCTTAATGCTCACCAGCGCACGCACACTGCATCTTAAAGGAATACTTTGGGTTTCTTCAACCTGACGTCCATCCATATTCATCCGTTACAAGTTCGTGGCTCAAAGTGCACCCAACCCCAAAGTGTATCCTGACTGCATCCCAAATTTTTCGGTGCATCAATACAATTTAGATGCATCCACAATTTTTCACTGCACCTTTTGGCCCTACAATAATACATTTTAAGCATTATCTATTTTGTCGGTTTCGACACACAGTGTCAGTTTTCTAACACATTATGTAAATGACTGCACATGGCCGCACGTTAAGTTTTTTTGTACTGGCACTACAGAGGTGAAGTTGTGAAGCACAGGACACAAAATTGTACAAGTATAAACGTATCAATGAAGTCCACGGCAGTTTGAAACTTTTCCGATCCTGTGTTTGGGGAGTTCTGAATTGTTTTAATATCTCAGTATTATTTCTATATTATTATCTTTCCCATGGTAAGGACACAGGAAGTAGGAGTGCTGAGGTATCATGAAATTCACCAATTGACAAAAAGAGTTTAAATGTAGCGTGAAAACAAAAGCGTTTCCCTTTTCTGTTTTTTTTCAGATGCCTTTTTTTAATCCGTCATCCAAACAAAAATTGTATGCACAGAAACCTTTCACACTGATTCTGATGTGTTTTATTGTTCTGTTAGTTCCAAAAATTTGCAAAATTTTACAAAATGTAAAGACACATTTCCTCCTTTGCCTCTCTCCACTGGAGTTACCTATCTGATGTCACCACTCCCTCCCTGTCTTTTCATTTGGCACCGCAGCTGCATGAAGGGGCGGAGCTGTGTGCGGTCCACATCCTCCTCATCATCATCATCCACCTGAATATAACTATCTGACCTGTTCAGAGTAGCTGCCTGCGTTATGAAATGATTCTGTGCGACCCGTTCCTCTGTCTTCTCACAGCTGTGTCCCGCCGCCACATTGTCTTCAGATTCTTTGTCAAACGTCTCAAAAGGCTCTGATGATGTGAAAGAGGCAGAAAATCAAACCTATTCTGAACATTTTAGTGACGGATGGAACTTTTGGAATCAGTGTGTAAACATGATTGACACAACGTGAAGTCGTATTGTGACACGTGCGCACTCATTGTGCAAAGGCCTTTACTCTTCTCAGACTGAAGAGTGACAAAAAGACTGAGTTGTATGAACAGGTCCAGTGGAGAAAAGGCAATGACAAGATGGCACATAGCGTTCGGGGAAGTTGCATCTGTATGGTAGGACACGCTTCTTCAGAGACAAAATACAAAGAATGGACCGGTCAAAGAAAGTGCGACATTCTCTGTGAGAAATCTGCATAATCTGCATGAGCTAGTGATGCTGTCAGATGGTTTGGATGAGCTTGTTAGGAAATATTGTGGATTTCAGGCAGGTGGGTCATAAAGTGATAAAGCAGCGTTTTGAGTAAGTTATTAATAAGTTTCAGTACACGTGCAACAATCCAACTTTCACCTTCTCTTCCCGTCCTGTTATTTGGCTTTTGACCAGGAATTTCTGTTAAAGTTTGACATATTTAAAACTTTCCAATCATCATGAACGGTAAAAACATTGTTCTCTGCAAATATGTAGGTTGAAAGTCCAGTTCAGACCAAAAATTAGCAATGAGACAAAACTGTTTTAGAACGTTGCAAAGAAAAGTGTCAGCGGTGTGAACTGGCCAGTCTGAGCTCGACTCAAGCCGGCTGATGGTGTCACCTGACACTCACGTTGTTGACTAGAGATGATACACCGTCTCATGGTGGTCACTTCTTGTCATCGTTACAGATCAGAAGTACAGAGAGTTGTTGACTAGAGTTGATACACCGTCTCATCGTGAGGTCACTTCCTGTGAACCAGCAGAATGGCACTTTGAAGTACTTGCCTGTTTCAACTCATCTCGTTGGGGAATCTTTGGTCTGAACTGGGCTTTAACAACGTCCATCTCCGTCCACATTGAATGCATTTCTCTAACGTCATGTAAACACTGTTCCGATCAGCTATTTGCTCAAGGTCATACTTAAGACTTAAATACTTATAAGATGGGTGAGTTCTCAGTGTCTTCCGATATTTGTACTTTTTTAAACAGAAAACACGCCTTATGTCGTGATATTTACTGTAAATGACGGCATAACCAACAGCATGTAGGTTGCTATCAACAACGATCATCACCAGAAACTTTCAGCTCTGGTTTGCAGGTTGTGGCTCCACCATGTTTTCATGGATGTCTAATAGTTTCAGTCCCTAACGAGCTCCTGTATCCTAAAGTCCTGCTGTGCGAGGCTCACTACTGCTCACGTTATGATCTTACTCTTTATACACATTGTCAGATCCACGTTACACACGTCTGGTGTACAATCGGTTTTCAGCTTGATCAGTCATCATCGGTGATCATCTGTATTGACGAGGAAACAATAATTTGAATTACCAGTACCACAAACACAGAGACTGACCTGCTACGAGTCAGACACACCAGTGTGACCAGTGAGTCGCACTTGACTTATGTTTGGATGCAGGTGCGCTCTTATTCTGGCCCCTCCCCCGGGACCACTTTGCCTCATGAGACCCTTACAGGAGCTAACGCCCAGGACACCACAGTACTATCAAAAGGACTTGCAATGTGCTGCTTGACAACGCTTAAAAACAGCTCGACAGCGAGAGAAGAGCGTTCTGTTTCCTCTCCTCTGATCTATCACCGTCTCTCTGTAGTAAAACTCTGGAGCTCAGATTAACCACGTGGACTCTGTGGTTTCCTCTCTTCTTCTCTCATCCTTCAGTCTGCAGGATGAAGCCTTTTGCAGACTGAGACAGATGCAGATTTTCGGTTTGTTTTTGGTTTCCACCAAAGCAGGTGCAAAACAAACAGTATCCAGTGGAGGATGCTGAAGGTGTGGACACTGTATAAACTTCCCCACGAGCTCGCTTACGATGCTTCATCGTCCACAATGAAGAGATTGTATTTATTGATTTGTTATGTAGTATCTTTGTAGAAGATCACATCGGCCGTTTCCACTCTGTGATATCAAATGTTTGCTCTTCTTCTGCTTTAAAACATCTGCAGCCTGTGCTCACGTTAAGATTCTCGTACACCTGCATCATGCTTAGCTCACGTTAAATGAGGTCTGAATAAACAGTAGAAACAGAAAGCTGCTTTAATATCAATGTTTTTATTCACACACAAACACACACACCTTCTTGTTCCCTGACCCTAATGTAACCCGTAACTTTAAAGCTTTATGTACATCAGCAGACCTGCAGGCATGTGCCGACGAGTGGGTGGGTGAGGGGTCACTGCTGGATGCAGGAGAAGACACCAACCAGTCTTAATGCTGTTTACTTTCTCCTTCAAGTGGCCATTGTGCTCCCTTCCACCCGTCACATGACACCTGGCCACAGTCTCCTCATCAGGGTTGTCCTCGACCCTCCACCATCACAAAGACACAATGGGTCGCTTGTTATCCCCCCCGAGTGTACATGAAGCCTCCCCTCCTAAGCTGAGTCGACTCAAGAGGATCCCAGATCATGATGTCGGCATGGTCCCTCATGTGCCCCGCACTGACCCCCAAACCCTCATCAGTACACGTCATTGATACGGCGCCAATTTCCTCTAAGTGACAACATCACTTCTCATCCAACTGCCATTATCTATCACCGACAGTCAACACTGAAACAGGATGTGGTAATACTCGATCATTCTCCACCGCTGTATGTGTTTAACTGAAATAGTGGGAAAGTAGCTGTTATGGTTTTTACAGAGCTTGTAATCAGTATCATTCTATAAGAACACATGATGAGACGGCTGACCTGGCACTACCCGATACTATCCCCAAACAGTTCAATTTAGAAGGAACAAGTCTCCGTTTCCAGGTTTAATGGAGGTCAGATGTAGGTTTGTACAACATGGGAAAGTATTAGATTTGCTGAAGCTTAGTATTTGTCAAACACAGAGGAGACACTGAGTGTGATGACATCTTATAAGAAAAGTTGTTTCTATTTGAAGTTTGTTCTGCCGCAAAACTCATGTGGGCGTTTGGTATTTTGTAGGAAACAAGAACCGATGCTCTCATTTTGCTCAACAAGAGTATCACTTGTACAACACTTGTAATTAATGTTGCACAATTAACTTTTTTGGCTTATGAGAGCCACAGAAAAACATTTTTAACACTAGAAAAGCACTCAGAGAGTGCAGACCTCCGCCAAGTAGGTGATATTCCCTCCCCCTCTGCATCAGATTTTGCAGCCTGCATCACAATTAAGTTATCTGCATCACTATCATTATTAGGTCATATATGCCTTCACCATGGAGACACTGTGGTGTATTTATTTCATTTTTATTTTGTAGCAACACAGAATATAATATGTTTTTTTGTATTTTTCAGTTTCTTTTTTTCCAACACAGAACATTAATTTCAACTTTAGAATTACAACAATATTTAGCAAGTAGAACAAGACGTGCTGTCCAGCCACCAGATGGCGGTATTGTCACCGTCTTAATTACTGCTCAGGCTGTCAGACCATACACTTTATTTATTATTTTATCCACTTTGCTTCAACCGATCACCACCAAAAATTTGTCATCTGTTCCTTGTCCCATTATCCACCTTTCGTTCCTATTTTTCACAACTTTGACGTGTCCCCTTCCCCTGCCATGTTTTTTATCCACTGGTTGTGTTTCTCAGGTAGTATCTCTGGACCTGAAAGCCTCCACAATATCCAAATATAGCTGTATTGTGAATAACCAACATAAAGTGCAGTGGTAGGAAAGTATAACCGAAATAAAAAAGTACAATTTTGCGGTACTTGTACATTAGTTGTGTACATTAATTCTGCAACTTTGTATTTCTGCTTCACTATTTGTCAAAAGCAAATATTGTACTTTTAACTACACTACATTAATCTGCCAGCGAGTTGATTTAAGATTAAGATGTTATAGAAAAAACATATGTAAAGTTCAGATTAAATGCCTACTATGAAAACAGCATCAACAACACCTGTGCTTTCTTGACCATCCTGATTGTTGCCTTGTTTGTAGTATGTGCTTAAAGGTCACCCCATATGGTCTACATCTGGTAAGGTGATTGGAGAAACTGACACACATTTACAAAAATAAAAATTTACAAGAATTTTCAAGTAATTCTTTGTACAGATGTTCATGCAAACAACACAAAACAAACAAAATAAAAAGAAAAGAAAAAAGATAGGATATATATAAACAAAGCAATTAATGTCATCATTCTTTCATCCCTATCTGTTTCTCTTACAAATTTAATATTCTTTCTCTTTTATTCTCTTTATTTTCGTTGATCGAAAAAAAGGTGTAGACTGAAGCCCAAGCTTATTTTGTCTACCCTTTTTAAAAACATGAATTCATTTTCTTCAAAACAAAACTTAAGTCAGTAGCAGCGACTTTTAAACATGACAGTCAAATAAATTAAATATTCTTCTTCCCCTTTTCATTTCTTTTTATTCCCTCCTTCCTTTCCTTTTTTTCAAAGGTTCTCATAATAAACTTAAAGCATAATTATCCAGAGACCTAAATTCAACAATTCACAAATCCCCATGTTCATTTTCTTACATAACTTTCTAATGATTTGGTTTTAAATAATTTCTTAAATGTACCCATATTTTTGCTTTCTTTCAATTCAATGTCACAATCATTCCATAACTTCACTCCATACACTGACACACATCTACTCTTCATATTAGTTCTTACCCATTTCCTATCAAAAATGAAATTTCCCCTCAGTGGATAAGTGCTTGTCTTCTTTATGAATAGCCCTTGGATACAGTCTGAAAGTGTTTTACGATGTGCTCTATACATTAACTGTAGTGTTTTAAAGTTAACCAGATCCATCAATTTCAAATTTTGAGAGTGCACGAATAACTTATTGGTGGGGTGTGTATATTCAACCTTGTTAACCAGTCTCATAGCTCTTTTTTGCAACAAAAAATGCAATTTGTATTAGTTTTGTAGGTATTTCCCCATATCTCTACACAGTATGTAATGTAAGGAAGAATGAGTGAAGAATACAAAATTAATAGTGAATTATGGTCCAAGATGTCCTTAGTTTTATAGAGTATTGCAATAGATTTTGATATTTTTGATTTAATGTACATTATGTGGGGTTTCCAGTTTAATTTATGGTCTATCATTACACCCAGTAATTTGCTTTCATACACTCTCTCTATTTCTACTTTGTTAATCTTGAGTTTAACCTCATTGTTAATTTTTTTATTTCCAAACACTATGAATTTTGTCTTACTTAAATTCAGTAACAGTTTGTTTACATCAAACCATTTTTTTTGAAATTGCACAATTCACTTTCGACTATATCCAAAAGCTCATTCAGATCTTTATGTGAACGATGGTCCATCCATCAAATTTTGACATATTATTTTGTGTTTTTTTTAGGGATTTTCTGTTTGTTTTCCAAAATCGTAATTTGTGAGGTAAGAATAAAATCTGTTAATTTCGGCTTAACAAGCTCTGGTGTAACAGTCACTGACGATCTGTAGCTGCTTGATTTTCACAGGATCCTGTCCAGGCAGGTTTTCGTACACATCGGAGAGAGCGTCGTAGATTTTCTTGACCAATCTCAACTCATGCAGTCCGCTTACTGTATTGTTGTCTAGGACATAAATGTGATGTGATCCTGCTGGGTCTTATAATTTTTGGATGTAGGCACAAGCTGTACATTGTGTTAATAAATTCATCTGTCATTCTGTGTCCGTCCGGATTTAACACGTCAATATTAAGATCTCCACAAATGAAAATAGTTTTATGGGTCTTTTTAGAAAATGTCTCACTCATCCATTCATTAAACACAGCAATGCTGGAACCTGGTGATCTATATATGCAACTTATTATTACATTTTTATTTTTTTCCTTCCAGATTTCAACTGTAATGCATTCAAATATGTTGTCAACCACAGTCGTCATGCTGTCCAACACCTTGTATTTCAAATTTTTGTCCACATACATGGCCACACCACCTCCGCCTTTATTTTTTTATTCATGTACCTCATTTCATAACCGTCCAACTCAAAGTTTTTGTTATTTTTATTAATGTAATGCATGTTTTCTTTAAAAATGTTGGAGATTTTCTCTTACTTAAAATGTTTTGGTGATTTTTATTGTTTCTTTCAAAATTTTGGGCATTTTTTTTTGTTAAGCATTTTTGCTGAATTTTAGTTGCTTTAAAAATTTGCAGTGATTTTTGTCTTGATTGTTGTTTTTTTTGAAAATCTTTTTTCTTAAGAAGGTTTTGTCGAGTTTCTTTTTCTCTAAAATGTTGGTGATTTTTTTCCCTTTAGATATTTTGGCGATATTTTTCTTTAAGAAAGTGTTGATTTTTTTTAAAAAAAAAAAATCTATGGTGATTTTCTCTTGTAAAAGTGGTGCCAGTTTTTTTTTCTTTAAAATTTGTTTCAATTCAAATTGTTAGCATTTTTTTAAAAAAATATATTTGGCTTTTTTTAAAAAAAGAAAAATGTTTTGCAGTTTTTAAAGAAAACATACAAAGGCAAGTTTTCTCAGATTTTCACATTTCCGACAGTCATCATGTGCAACAAACGCTTCTGTCAGAAAAAAGAAACACAGAACCAAATGTAAGTTTAAAATAGTGAGATTTCATCAAAGTCACTTTTTTCTGTATCTCATTTAGAATTTGTCCAAAAATAACTCGTTCACACTAACTAGCAGAACGAGAAAAGTAAAAAAAAAAAAAAACTGAGGTTATTTTTCAACTCCAGGATTTTATCTTCAACTCTAACTTTCAAACATCAAAGGTTTTAGAAATCTAATAACTAATTTATGGTGAGGGAGGGTCGTGTACTTCCACCAGTCACTCAGGGAGGCTGAAGGAAAAAATATTTATAGCTTAAGGGAGGGTCACACGCAGCTACACCCTCCTCTGATAAAGAACAGTCCCTAAATTCATGCTCTATAGACCTTTTTCACGGCAGACATTTTGACACGTCAGAGTAGGAGCAACACAGGTGTGTTCAATGACACTAATGACAGCTGCGTTCCACTTAGGGGAGACCCTGGTATTGTCCATGTTGGCTAAATGTTACTAGCTTACTGGGACACTGAATGGAACTCAGCCATCCTTAATGTTATCAATTTCACCTGTGCTTTTTCTACTGACACAAGTCAAAATGTCTGCTGTGAAAAAGGTCCATTGATCCCTGTTTAAAGTTTTCTTTTCAGCCAACTGAAAATCAACTCTTACCGGCGTGGAATGTGCTGCCTTAGCAACAGTAACTAAGAGGGGCGGGGCTTATAACAGGAAGGCTTCTTAAGACTCAGCCCAGGACATCAGAGTCCATGAGACGCAATGGGACAGAGAGAGCAGAGGTCGACATTTTTACAATATACAAAGGATGTTGGAGAAATGAGAGAATGTCAAAGGAGCAGCAAAGAAGAAGAAGACATCATATCACGCATGAGATTTGGTCATACGGGGTTAAATAGCACATTATTCATAATACAGAAACATGAAACAGGAAATTGTGAACATTGTGAGTCAGGAGAAACAGTAGAACATATCCTCTTTCAGTGTCCAAAGTACCAAACACAGAGAAACACACTCAAAGCAGCATGTCAGAGAAATAAGATACGTTTAATGTAGCAGATATATTGAGAAGAAACTCAGGGGATGTTGTATTTGGAGAGATTTTTAGGTTTTTGGAAGCAACAGGGCTTGTTAAAAAAATTTAATACATAGTATATTCTGTTCCACACTCCAGTCCAGAAGGTGGCGGTAATGCACCTGAAAAGTTGTTTGCCAACCGCCATAAAAAGAAAGAAGAAGAAGAAGAAGAAGAAGAAGAAG